CAAGAATGAGTCATTTGATTGACTGACTCGATCCACAAAAAATCATTCTTATACAGGTAAAAATTATGATAGACTTGCATTTTAACCTTCAATATGAAATCAAACAGACCTAGAAAAATCCAATTGCACGTGGTTGCTATCTGTTTATGACCGTCGGCAGTCTTCGGAGGTCATCTTGGTGGTTAATTAGATGATGTCTAGACAAAAATGTTGATACATATTATCGAGTCCATGCATAGTTAATTGTTTATTTTAGACATTTTGTAATTTGGATATACGTTTTAGTTTGTTATAAATCAAATATGAGAATTTGTCAATGAGTCAAATCGGTGAACATGAATTTGACAGCTAATGCCCCTTTAAGATTATAACACAATGTTGACTGCTGTATCCTAATTTTTTACAATTTTTTCTATTATGTCTGTTTGTTTTGTACATACATTGTTGACAATATAATGGAATTTTATGCGACTGTAATACAAGTGAGAGGTTTAGCTAGTTATAAAACCAGGTTATATCCACCATTTTCTAAATAAGGAAATGCCTGTACCAAGTCAGGAATATGACAGTTGTTTTCCATTCGTTTGATGTGTTTGAGATTTTGATTTTGACTTTTGATAAGGGAGTTTTGAATTTTCCTTGGAGCTCGGTATTTTTGTTATTTTACTTTTCACATCTTCCTTACATGTAATAAATAAAGTACTAATAGATTTGAGTTTCAAAACTCAAACTTATTAAAAAACAAAGCCACATTAAACACAGTTCAACTTCAAATTACCAATATGAAAGCCATTTTGTCAATCACGAGTACTAAAGAAGTAGTGACAGAACTTTTAAATACTTTGTCATTACAGAATGATGACTTTGTTCTGCATGGTCAATAGCAGTTCCTCTGACAAAAATTTGAAAATGGCCTTGTTTCAAGTTGCCTCTATTGATAATTGTTATGCTTAGCGAAATTCTTGAAATACCGAGCAATAAAAAGAAAACGAGAAGACAATTATGCTATCATAAACTTAAATTCTCAATAATTAATTTGAAAAATAAAAAAAAATCGTGTTTGAGCTATTGGAGGTATACATATAGATACACTCAACTTTTTCTCAGCGGTTGCAAAGTACTTTTTCTATTTTGTTTTGAATCAGGATGACACAGTCACAATAGTATAGGAAATAGTCTTCTGATGTTCTAAGACAATGTCATAAAACTATGACAATGTAATTTACACTGTTGAAGCATGACCGCACGTCAAACTTTGTACAACAGAAAAGCTGATTGGACATTTAGTGACAATTTGTCACGCCCTCGTGAATTGGCGTCTTAAAATTACCGGTATTTCATACACAAGTAACTGTATTTTTTAAACAAAACAAAAATATTAATTCAATTTATTTTTCATTGAACATGCAATGAAGCCACGGATTCATAACCTTAAAAAATGGTTCACTAACGGTTGATAAAATGTAGAAATTCTGAATAGAAATATAAAAAGTATGTCCAGTACGCGATTAAAAACGGGCTCTATTCGAACATGTTGAGATGTTTCGGTAATGTACTTGTTCAGTGTGTAAAGAATTTTAGAGGTCAATTTGACTTTTAAACTGTTAGATTTTCAATTTTAATCAAAGATGTGTTAGGTTTTCTTCTTTTTTTTAAATTTTTACCATTATTCTCTGATATTTCCCATTATGTTCTGGAATTTTGTTTTGAAGATGAATGATTTAACAAATTTATACCAAACATTTAAAATCTTACTCTGCGTTTATAAATATCATTGAACGTACAACATCTAACAAAAGATAAACATTGCTAGAAGAAAATGAGCCACTCTTTCTCAGGTTGAGATGGAATATATCCGTTATTTGATTTTCTGAGGTAAACAATAGAAACTCCTTAAATAATCTCTCATGACAAGAACGAAAAGTGGCGAAACTTAACTTCCAACAGCGAGCGATGATATTTAATCATATAATACTCTTGCAAAGGATTTTTAAATGCAATGTAAAACTTATCAATTTAGACATTTCTTATCCCGAATTACTTCTAATACATTATTTCATGGCACACCAACCCGAGAAGTAAAATGAAGTATGGTAATTATTTCAAGGTATATTTTGTCCATCATTTGTGACTTTCAGCAAGTGGCATTCCCTGTTGATCACTTAAAACACTGCACAATATTCAATTAACATATACATTTATACATGAGCTTTAGAATGATCGATAATAGAAGAAAACAAAAACTAATTGCAAAATGTTAACATTTTGTTTTTTGTAAGGCTTAATTTTATCTAAGTCTGATTTATATTTAAAAGTTGGTTTACTTCAGACTTAGAATAATTCTATTCAGAGTATAATTGAATTAATACTTGTAATTCGAAAAGCAACGTAAATTTTCAATTTCAGAATGTCAAAAACTACAGAGTTTTCAAGAACCAAAACTGCATTTATAATTTCAGCTATTGACTTTAAGAGGCTCATCGTTTTGCGTATATATTGAAAAAAGTTGGAAATGCATATTCAGCAGGCCTCAAAGTGTGTCTTTCAGATGAAGAACAGCAATAAAAGCACTGTTCCTTTGCCTTTGGTATTGTCAATTGCATGTAGCGATTTTGTGTTGTGAGTTAATTATTTACACACCATGTTCCTTCTTTTCCAGTCGATCATTATTCAGATTTGAGGAAAAAGATACATGTAAATTGAAGTTTGTTCGTTTTGTTTTACATCGAATAATTCATATGCTATTGGAGAAGTTTGGGCCATATATTATTGATTAATTTAGCCAGTTTTTTTTTTTGTTTTTTTTTTGTTGTTAAGACTTGAAATACATTTATTGAAAAACATCTGAATATAATTTACCTTGTATAACCCAGGGAAGTATACACAAGGGGCCATGTGTTTACAATGTTCCATCGTCCAGGGATAAACGGTTGACTCTATTAAAAAAAAAATCTATTTTCTATGAATTTAGCTAGTTAAACATTCATATTTTCTTTCGATTCCAAGAATGGACATGGGGTCTGTATTTTGATTAGGTTGTTTTACTGCTATATAAGTAATTAGTTCCATTCGGAATTGTCTTCAGAAAGAAAAAACTAAGGTTTCGCTTGCTCGTTCTTCTTTCTGTCGTTCATAAAACAAAATTTTTGAAATTAATAAAATTTCAAGATTTGAACAATTTCATAACTCCGGCCATAACATATTTGTTTTTAACCTTCAAGTCAAAAGAAAAGAAAATTAAAGATTTCCAAGAAACTGAAAAAAAACCACTATGACTGTGTGGTTTTTTTTCAAGCGTAAGCCAGTTTGTACTTGCGGTCATTTTTTTAATCGTTGTTTTATTTTCAACAATAGAGAATTTAAGATCGTAACATTCATTTTTTTTTTTTTCATTTATCCTGATTTTTTAGGAAACTTTGATTATAATATCTTAAATGAAAATAGCGTAATTCATTAAACGGTTTTTTTTTTTTTAATTTGTGTTGATGTTCTACTGCTTCATTTACTTATGTCCTACATATCTTGATCATGTACAGAGACAGATAATTGCATCCTAGTTCGCATTATGTAATGGACTAATTTCATCATTTCTTACTGTCCCCCTTTTTTATTGATGGGCATTCCACTCCCTTTTGAAAATACTAAATCGAAAATAATGTACATGCACGAAGAAGTTTGTCTCACGTGAAAATACGTTGCCCAATATCTCACGGCTTCATTTACACACACAGTGCACTGATTCTTTATAATATTTTTACGAAATCATTTCAAATTTTGTTTTTCGAAGAAAGACCTATATTACAACATATAACAATCAGCATATTTAGAGTATGTCGACATACCGCCACATTTTTATTCATCATTTTATAAAGGCATGTCAAACTGTCACTAGTATGAAGAGTCCTAGTAATGGACTTCTGCTAGTATCCAATCAACTGTTCTATCGCACATAGATTGACGTACGGTGATGCTTGAAACAAAATGTAATTTATAAAATGACATTTTCATAGTTTTAGGACACTGTTGTTATCAGTATATGTATCTGTATCAACATCAAAGAATAAAGTACTTTATTGTCGCAGTTGTGGACTATTGATTCAAATTAATGTTGATTTCGACAACGAGCTTTGTAACCGCTGAGAAAAAGTTGAGTGTATATGTTATTTTTCAGTCTCTTACCAAACTGCGATGCAATGATTTCTTTTCGCTGGCCCATGTTTAAAATGATAGAATGGTACAGGGTAAAGATTCGGATCTTTCACCCGGAATACAGTATAATAGATATAAGAAGATGTGGTATGAGTGCCAATGAGACAACTCTCCATCCAAGTCAAAATTTATAAAAGTAAACCATTATAGGTCAAAGTACGGTCTTCAACACGGAGCCTTAGCTCACACCGAACAGTAAGCTATAAAGGGCCCCAAAAATTACTAGTGTAAAACCATTCAAACGGGAAAACCAACGGTCTAATCTATATAAAAAACGAGAAACGAGAAACTCTTATGAACCACATCAACAAGCGACAACTACTGAACATCATATTCCTGACTTAGGACAGGTGCAAACAAATGCAGCGGGTTTAAACGTTTTAATGGTACCAAACCTTCACCCTTTTTCTGAAACAATAGTGTAACATCACAACATACAAAGACACGTTATAAAATATCAACTAATATCTATTTTGTTTAACACAATTAGTTAAAAGTGTGGATCGATTTGTATTCTAACAGACTAAAGATAACACGTATCATAAAACTACTGAATGACTGGTATTATGGAAAAAAAAGCGAAAGTCGTCGTATTTTACCTGTGACAAGTACCATGTATAAAAGGGATGTTCATTGTGTTATTTTTGTAATAGTGACTATTTTTTACTTATAAATTTCATTTATATTACTTCTCGTAGTGATAATTTTGTCGTTTTACTTCAGGGATGAATCTTTAGTTCTAACAATTAAATATTTAATTACTTATGCTGTGTGTTTCATGTACGTTATACTTCATGTTAAAAATGACTGTGAGAGCAACACAATCTGGTTACGGATATTGACACGACTTGTTCATAATACGGTTTAAAGTATAAGCTTTCAATGTGTACATGCATACGACAGCTGTCAGTAGTCCAATGGTATCGTACACAGACTTCAGTATATGTTGGTTATTGATATACGCATACAATTCGATCATTTCAATTGACATTCATTTTTTAGAGGTAAGTTGTTAATATTTATAGATTAGAATGTGATTTAACTCATATGAGTCTGTCAGCAGAAAGAGGCAGGGTACCCAGTGTGTCCCATAGTGCAACTAAACTTTGACGACAGAGTTTATTACGCGAGTCTCCACGTAGGCCGTGGTACTAGACGTGGAAGTGGGTATGGCCTCTACTAAGTTTCGTAAAAAAATATATCCTAGAGTGGAGAGTTGATATGCACTACTTTTTTATTCAAAGGTCAAAACACAGGACTGTGCGGCATATTTTCAACATTTATGTGCCCCGAACTTTTAAGAGTTTAAACGTATACTAAAATTCTGCATTACCCCTCACTTCACTTTAGGTCTTTCTCAGAATTCCACCGCCTACCATGTCGTTTATACTGGTAACATTCCCAAGTTATGTCTCTATGAGATGAAACATAGAGATCATATCTGGGAACCAGTACGTAAACAAATCAAAATATCTATGAATATTATATATCTCCTCAAAAGAGGCGTGGCTTGTAAAACAGCTGTTACAAAGTCAACAAATACTAACATTTATTCAATTAGAAAACTCCTGAAAAACACTTTTTCTCACAACAATACTTATTTATCAGAATCACAGCCTTAAGGAAATCACTGTATATACTCTAACTATTCTTTTACCAGGTTGAGAGTACATTTTATACCCCCACCCCTGTTTCCATTTTAAAGGAATTTGAAAACAAGACTTTAATTATTGTCAGCTTACCCTATGTGCATGTTTTCTGACATAAAATGTATAGAACCTGATTGAAACTGTTCTGATAACAAATTGAAAGCATTTCAGAATACTATAAATGTAAAGTTTAGTAGTTACTCATTCCAACATTTAAGATTATATAAAATATCCAATCCTACTTTATCTCCAGTCTACATCTTACTGTATGTCTATTTATCAATAAAAGCTCACTATTTCTGCATCAAATGGTCAATTTAGAAGTCTTGTCACAACAATATCATCTCTAACAATATATCTAACATAATTTAGCTAATATATGAACTAAAAGTGTTTAAACAAAGTCATATTTGCAAAAGTTGTATGTATGAAGTTACCAGTCTGATGTATGCATTCACTAAAAGTTTTATAAATTGACTGCTTACATCTATTTTTTACATACTTTCCAAGCACAGTTATTGTTTTCTTTACAAAAGACATTTATAATAATGAAATCATAGCATTTACAGGTTAAAATTATCTGTTTTATGACCAAGTGTGTAGGCATTTTTCTCTATTTTTTGCCTCTGGGGCCTCAAATTTGTTAAATAATTCTGCTGTTTCTGTGAATATGGAATATTTAGTACATATTTAGGATAGAACACACTATTGTTAGTTTTATTGAGGTATTTTTGTATTTCTAGCTTGTATTTTTTTATGCCGTGGTTACAAAAAAGCACATTCAGGTGTTAAGGCTTACTTTTGGGTTATCGTCAAGACAAAATCATCCCAGCAACAATATTCATCAAGGATCTATGAGTTCCAATGACTGCGAAGAGTAAATATAAGCACTTCCAAACAATTTAAATTACAGATATGCATATATTATGAATTTACTTTGTATTCAGGGCTTTAAGTAAACTATGCATACTGTAAACTGTGAATTTATGCTGAGTCATCAAAGTAAAGGCCCAGGATTTTCTCAATCTTCGGGAAATATTCATAAAACATTATTTTTGAGTTTATTTCATTAAAATCTCTGAGATAAACCAGAATTGCTAAAATTCTACATGTTCTCTTTTTTTTTACCCTATATACTAACATTTATTTAACTAGAAAAATCCTGAAAAACACTTTTTCTCCCAACAATACTTATTTATCAGAATCACAGCTTTAAAGAAATCACTGTATATACTCTAACTTTTCTTTTACAGTACATTTGATACCCCCACACCTGTTTCCATTTTTAAAGAATTTGAAAACAAGACTTTAATTATTGTCAGCTTACCCAATGTGCATGTTTTCTGACATGAAATGTATAGAACCTGTTTGAAACTGTTCTGATAACAAATTGAAAGCATTTCAGAATATTATAAATGTAAAGTTTAGTAGTTACTCATTCCAACATTTAAGATTTTATAAAATATTCAATCCCGCCTCCGTCTCCAGTCCACATCTTACTGTATGCCTATTTATCAATAAAAGTTCACTATTTCTGCATCAAATGGTCAGTTTAGAAATCTTTCCACAACAATATCATCTCTAACCATATATCTAACATAATTTAGCTAATATATGAACTAAAAGTGTTTAAACAAAGCCATATTTGCAAAAGTTGTATGTATGAAGTTACCAGTCTGATGTATGCATTTACTAAAAGTTTTATAAATTTACTGCTAACATCTGTTTTTTACATACTTTCCAAGCACAGTTATTGTTTTCTTTACAAAAGACATTTATAATAATGAAATCATAGCTTTTACAGGTTAAAATTATCTGTTTAATGACCAAGGGGTAGGCATTTTTCTCTTTTTTTTTTGCCCTTGGGGCCTCAAATTTGCTAAATAATTCTGCTGTTTCTGTGAATATGGAATATTTAGTACATGTTAAGGATAGAACACACTATTGTTAGTTTTATTGAGGTATTTTTGTATTTCTAGCTTGTATTTTTTGATGCCTTGGTTACAAAAAAAGCACATTCAGGTGTTACGGCTTACTTTTTGGTTATCGTCAGGACAAAAACACCCCAGCAACACAATATTCATCAGAGATCTATGAGTTTCAATGACTGCGAAGGATAAATATAAGAACTTCCAAACAATTAAAATTACAAATATGCATATATTATGAATTTACTTTGCATTCAGGGCTTTAAGTAAACTATGCATACTGTAAACTGTGAATTTATGCTGAGTCACCAAAGTAAAGGGCCAGGATTTTCTCAATCTTCATGAAATATTTATAAAACATTATTTTTTAGTTTAATTTCATTAAAATCTCTGAGATAAACCAGATTTGGTGGAATTCTACATGTTCTCCTTTTTTACCTAATATACTAACATTCATTCAACTAGAAAACTCCTGAAAAACACTTTTTCTCACAACAATACTTATTTATCAGAATCACAGCCTTAAAGAAATCACTGTATATATTCTAACTTTTCTTTTACAGTACATTTTATACCCCCATCCCTGTTTCCATTTTTAAAATTTGAAAACAAGACTTTAATTATTGTCAGCTTACCCTATGTGCATGTTTTCTGATATGAAATGTATACAACCTGTTTGAAACTGTTCGGAAAACAAATTGAAAGCATTTCAGAATACTATAAATGTAAAGTTTAGTAGTTACTCATTCCAACATTTAAGATTATATAAAATATCCAATCCTGCCTCCGCCTCCAGTCCACATCTTACTGTATGCCTATTTATCAATAAAAGCTCACTATTTCTGCATCAAATGGTCAGTTAAGAAGTCTTGTCACAACAATATCATCTCTAACCATATATCTAACATAATTTAGCTAATATATGAACTAAAAGTGTTTAAACAAAGCCATATTTGCAAAAGTTGCATGTATGAAGTTACCAGTCTGATGTATGCATTTACTAAAAGTTTTATAAATTGACTGCTGACATCAGTTTTTTACATACTTTCCAAGCACAGTTATTGTTTTCTTTACAAAAGACATTTATAATAATGAAATCATAGCATTTACAGGTTAAATTATCTGATTTATGACCAAGGGTGTAGGCATTTTTTCTATTTTTTGCCCTTGGGGCCTCAAATTTGCTAAATAATTCTGCTGTTTTTGTGAATATGGAATATTTAGTACATATTTAGGATATAACACACTATTGTTAGTTTTATTGAGGTATTTTTGTATTTCTAGTTTGTATTTTTTGATGCCGTGGTTACAAAAAAGCACATTCAGGTGTTACGGCTTACTTTTGGGTAATCGTCAGGACAAAAACACCCCAGCAACAATATTCATCAAGGATCTATGAGTTTCAATGACTGCGAAGAATAAATTTAAGAACTTCCAAACAATTTGAATTACAAATATGCATATATTATGAATTTACTTTGCATTCAGGGCTTTAAGTAAACTATGCATACTGTAAACTGTGAATTTATGCTGAGTCATCAAAGTAAAGGCCCAGGATTTTCTCAATCTTCATGAAATATTTATAAAAGTTTATTTTTTGAGTTAATTTCATTAAAATCTCTGAGATAAATAAAGGCAACAGTAGTATACCGCTGTTCGAAATTCATAAATCGATTGAGAGGAAAAACAAATCCGGATTACAAACTAAAACTGAGGGAAACACATTAAATATAAGAGAACTACGACACAACAGAAACACAACATTAAAATGTAACACACACAGAAACGAACTATAATATAACAATGGCCATTTTCCTGACTTGGTACAGGACATTTTAAGAAAAAAATGGTCGGTTGAACCTGGTTTTGTGGCTAGCCAAACCTCCCGCTTTTATGGCAATGTTAAATATAACATTAAAATGACAACATTCAAGACAGGACTACAATACAAATAAATCGGAGAACATATAGGACAGAGAAACATACGAATAATAGCTAACAAAAGGTACCAGGTTTAAAATTTAATACGCAAGACGCGCGTTTCGTCCACACAAGACTAACCAGTGACGCTCAGATCAAAAAAGTTCGAAAGCAAAAACAAGTACAAAGTTGAAGAGCATTGAGGACCAAAAGTTTCAAAAAGTTGTGCCAAATACGGCTAAGGTTATATGTCTGGGATACGAAAATCCTTAGTATTTAGAATAATTCATACTTTTGCAAACAGTAAATTTATAAAAATGACTATATAATAGATATACATGATAACACCGAAGTGGTGACTAACTACAGAATAAAAACGGATACATAAAACAACATAAACCAGAACATAAAAATTCACAGCCGAGTTAGCCAAAGAGATCAACGCAAAAAAAGGTGACGTCACATTAGAATTTCTGAAATTTCCCCAAAATAGGATAGAATAAGATA